GTGGAAATTATACCAAGTGAATGAATAAAAGAATAAAGAAGGGAAGGAAATAAGACAGAAGAAAGGAAGGAATAAAGACAAAATGAAGGAAAATAGAAAGAAACGAAGAAACAGAGAAATGAGAAAGAAAGAGAAACGAAAGAAGTAAAAAGAAAAAAATAAGAAAGAAAAGAAAAAGGAAAAGAAACGGAAGAAGAATAAGAAAATGGAGGAAAAAAGAAAAGAAAAAAGAGAAACGAAAGAACTCATAGCGAAAAGTACACAAAAAAAAGGATAGAAAAAGAAAGAGAAAAGAAAGAAGTAAAAATAAAAAAAATAAAAGGTGGGAGATAAACGAAAGAAGTCACTAGGAAAAAAAAGGAAAGAAAAAAAGGAAAGAAAAAGAAAGAGAAACAGAAGAAGAATAAAAAAAGGAATGAATAAAAAAAGAACCAGAAACGAAAGAATGAAAACAGAACAAAGAAATGCAAAAAAAAAAAAAAAGAACAGAAAAATAAAGAGAGACGAATGCATTAAAAAAATAAAAGGGAGGAAAAAAGAAAAGAAAGAAAGAAACAAAAAAAGTAAAAAAGAAAAAGAAAAGGACGATAAAAGGAAAGAAAAAGAAACTAAGGAAAAAATAGAAAGAAAAAGAAAAGAAACGAATAAGAAACAAAATAAATAAACGAAACAAAGAAGTGAAGAAAAAGAGAAAAGTTAGAGAAAGAGAGAGGAAAGAAGTAAAAATGAAAAAAAAGAAAGAGAGGAACAAGGAAAGAATAAGAAACGAAAGATAAAAAAAATAAAAGAAAGGAAAGAAAAAAGAAAAGAAAAAAGAGAAATCACCGATGTAAAATGTAAAAGAATGGATGGTAAACGAAAAGAAAAAGAAACAAGTACAAAAGATAAAAAAGGGAGGAAAAAGTGAAGAAAAAGAAAAAAAAGACGTTAAAATAGAAAGAAAGGAAGGGAAGAAGTAAAAGAAAAAAGAAACAAAAGACGTTAAAATAGAAAGAAAGGAAAGGAAGAAGAAAAAGAAAAAAGAAACAAAAGACGTTAAAATAGAAAGAAAAAAAAAGATAAAAAAAAAAAAAAGAAAGAAAAGAAAAAAGAAAAGAAAAAAAAGAAATCACCGATGTAAAATGTAAAAAGAATGGATGGTAAACGAAAAGAAAAAGAAACAAGTACAAAAAAGATAAAAAAGGAGGAAAAAGTGAAAAAAAAAAAAAAAAAGACGTTAAAATAGAAAAGAAAGGAAAGGAAGAAGAAAAAAAAAAAGAAAAAAAAAAGACGTTAAAATAGAAAGAAAAAGAAAGATAAAAAAAATAAAAAAAAAGGAAAGAAAAAAGAAAAAAAAAAAGAGAAATCACCGATGTAAAATGTAAAAGAATGGATGGTAAACGAAAAGAAAAGAAACAAGTACAAAAAAGATAAAAAAGGAGGAAAAAAGTGAAAAAAAAAAAAAAAAAAGACGTTAAAATAGAAAGAAAGGAAGGGAAGAAGTAAAAGAAAAAAGAAAACAAAAGACGTTAAAATAGAAAGAAAGGAAAGGAAGAAAAAAAAAAAAAAAAGAAACAAAAAGACGTTAAAATAGAAAGAAAAAAAAAGATAAAAAAATAAAAGAAAGAAAAAAAAAAAAAAAAAAAAAAGAAAGAAATCACCGATGTAAAATGTAAAAGAATGGATGGTAAACGAAAAGAAAAAGAAACAAGTACAAAAGATAAAAAAGGGAGGAAAATGAAGAAAAAGAAAAAAGACGTTAAAATAGAAAGAAAGGAAAGGAAGAAGAAAAAAAAAAAAGAAAAAAAGACGTTAAAATAAAAAAGAAAAGAAAGATAAAAAAAAAAAATAAAGGAAAGAAAAAAAAAAAAAGAAAAAAGAGAAATCACCGATGTAAAATGTAAAAGAATGGATGGTAAACGAAAAGAAAAAGAAACAAGTACAAAAGATAAAAAAGGGAGGAAAAAGTAAAGAAAAAGAAACAAAAGACGTTAAAATAGAAAGAAAGGAAAGGAAGAAGAAAAAGAAAAAAGAAACAAAAGACGTTAAAATAGAAAGAAAAGAAAGATAAAAAAAATAAAGGAAAGGAAAGAAAAAAGAAAAGAAAAAAGAGAAATCACCGATGTAAAATGTAAAAGAATGGATGGTAAACGAAAAGAAAAAGAAACAAGTACAAAAGATAAAAAAGGGAGGAAAAAGTAAAGAAAAAGAAACAAAAGACGTTAAAATAGAAAGAAAGGAAGGGAAGAAGAAAAAGAAAAAAGAAACAAAAGACGTTAAAATAGAAAGAAAAGAAGAAATAATTGAGGAAGATAAAATGCACAAAAAATAGGAAAAGAAAAGACAATAGGAAAGAAAAGACAAATAAAAAAGAGAATACAAGTTATAAAGAAAGAAGGAAAGAAAAAAGAAAGAATGAAAAAAGAAAGGAAGAAAGAATGAAAATGTTAAAATGGAGAGAAAGACTTAATAATACAAGCCGCAATTTTAAAAAAAATTGTAAAGGAATAAAAGGCTTAGT